TCCACCAGGGCCGTGACGAGGATTCGAAGCTGCGTCCGAGAGCATCCCAGACGCTGCCTTAATCGACTGAGCTACGACAAAGATTTGTTCCATTTTGGATTTGGTCATTTGATGCATCACTCAATTGTGATTTCTGTGTGTAATCTTTCCTCAATGTTTGACGGCTTTGATTACATTTATTAAACAGTTTACAAGCGTGAAAACTTGCCAATCAACTGTTGTTATTGTTATAAACAGCCTCCTGGTGCTTCGGAGCTCATTAACTGTTTAATAATTGTAAACAAAGCCGCCAAACATTGAGAAAAGATGGACAGGTTCGTAAGTGCTTGCGTAACTGCTTCGTGAATCTGGCCCCTGAGGTTTTTTTTAAGGCACTCTTCACAGCTTTTGTAAGAGCAGTACAGGAATAAGCAGCACCGGCCTGGAATCCACATATTGTAAAGTTTAAACCCAAAATTGTAAAAAAAAAGTGATTTGCAACAAGATTAATGGCAGAGATAAGAGGATTAATCTATGACAGGCAAAGAAAACTGGATTTCACATTATTGTATTTAGAGTTTTCGTTTCCTGAAAGCCTCCAATGCATAAATAATATGCAAATGTGTTACACATGTGTAAGGTGTGGAGCTTCCTTGACCCTCCCTGTAGCTGTGTCATGTCATCTGCAGCCAACCCATCCTCCGAATTGACAGTACGGTTATATACTTTTTTTAATAAATGCATTTCCTGACTGTCACACATAGTACATAATTGCACTTATGGGGCTGTTACATATACCTCCACATTTATTCTCCTCGTTTTCTGTTAAGACACTCAGAAGTTTAGGAGGAAGTTTTCAAGTTCAATTTGCTATAGATAAGTTTTAAATATCAGGAATTTCTTTTTCAGTTTTATTAAACAATAGAGATTTTATTCAAAATTTGAAAATATTTTGAGTTAGTTTGCATTTCATTGTAATATTTTTAGTTTGGTTTATTACTTTTATAAAACTGTAATATCAATATAGCTATAGGTTAAGTACTAATTGTAATTAAGAAACAATAAAATGCTTATCTTCAAACACTAAGAAGGTTAGGTTAGGTCGTGGTTTTCTATTCAGCTTTTCAGGTAAACTCAAATATTCACAATATATTTGACAGTACGATTTAATACCAAGTGAAAATAAGTACAATTCCTTACTGCTAGGAATAGTACATAATTGCACTTACTTGTGCTGTTACATGTTGTTGTTGTTTTAGATTTTAGGTACTCAGAACGAAGTGTCCATGTAGCACGGGCTATGGTGATCCCGTGAACCCAAAATGTTACATTTTTACCTTACCATTTTAGGAGGCCGGGCTGTCTGCCGCAAGCCGCCAGGTGAGGCATTACTTCACCTACAGCATCCCGCCAGGTGAGGCATCGCGTCACCTACAGCATCCCGCCAGGTGAGGCATTACTTCACCTACAGCATCCCGCCAGGTGAGGCATTACTTCACCTACAACATCCCGCCAGGTGAGGCATCGCATCACCTACAACATCCCGCCAGGTGAGGCATCGCATCACCAACAACATCCCGCCAGGTGAGGCTCATTTACACCAACCACATTTACGTTCTGTAAAAAACAGAAACAAAAAACTCATGAATACCAGAAGCGGATGTGGACATTTTTCTGGTAATGGCGACCTGTTTCCACACCTCTTTCAGCCTCCTTCTTCCCCCTTCCTTCCCACTCCTCCTCCTCTTCCTTCCCCCCCTCCTTCAACCTCAGCAACTTCCTCCTCCTCCTTGCTCTGGATACTGTGGTTCACGTGCCTGGCCTTCCCTCTCACCGGAGTTAATTAAAGCGAAATATCTCACATCACGTAATTAGTAGAGTCTCATGAGGTATAAATAGCTGCAGATATCTGGGCGGAGAGCAGGCGGATGAGTGATTAGAGCGGAGTGCCCATGTGGGCATGAGGTGCGTGTGAGTGTGTGTGTGTGTGTGTGCACGCGCGTGTGTGTGTGTGTGAGTGTGTGTCCTAGGCAGGGCTGGTGTTGGCAGGCATCCTTATACAAGGCTCATTAGAACACAAAGGCTGACACGGAGAGCAGTAATTACCCGGGAATGGTTATTAGGTCTGTCTCTGATGTCGACAACATTTCGCATTATTTTATTATTTTTAAGGCTCGCTGGAAATAGCGGCCCATACACCTTTGTCCCTGAATTGTCGCCGCTGTGACGAATTGATCGATCGAAATTGATTACTGATAAGAGTCGGGGAGAATCAATCTCTACTTCGCCGTCGATTTGAACATTCCAAAAGGGAGAAAAACATATAATAAATATCACTAATTTGTCTGCAATTGTCATCTTGTTTTCATTTAGTAACATGAAATTAATTGGGAATTTTCCCGCGACACGTAACTAGTCGGCAAATGACAATTGCCTCACAAATAGGAACTTCACCTTAATTGGCAACTTGTTAAGCGTATGTCCTAATTACAGGTGAGCTCAGTTCCCCGTGTGTGGCATTAGTTTCATATATAATGTGGGTTGTAATTGGTGGAGATATCTTCATCTGTCGAGAGTGGCGAGACTTGCTTCTTTCTCTCCTGTTCTTAAATTATTGCTATCTCTGTGCCCTCGAATTATTTTATTTTGTCTTTAGTCCATTGCTTTTGTATCATCTTGATTACTTGGATTTTTTGTATCGTATAATTTCTTTGATAATTAATCGTCTTAATTTTGGGTTTTAAATCGAATTCAGTGGTTTTTTGTAATTGTGTGGTGTACTTAGTATTGCGGAACATTAATATTATATTCAGGGTGACGGAGAAGCCGCCCGCTGGGCTGGGCTCCGACGGGTTAGTTCACTGGATTTCTTGAACATTTATCTGTTGCTGGAGCTTCTTCCTGCTGAGAGTCAGATGAACAGTGAATTGAGGATGAGTTTGTGAATGGATACAATCAGAATGATGCTGCACGGCTGAACGTCTTGTGTTACAATTGCCGTTTTATGTCTGTTCATGAAATTTTTCTCTTCCGGAATGCGGGTGGAAAAGACTTTTTTTTTCAAATATTTCTTGAATTACAGCTGGTCAGAGTATATTTTTTAAATAGACTTTGACCAGTCGAAAACATTCCGACATTTCCCATTTCCCATTTCTCTCTTCTGTTTTGAGATCGTCAGTTGAGATATATATATATATATATATATATATATATATATATATATATATATATATATATATATATATATATATATATATATATATATATATATATATATATATATATATATATATATATATATATATATATATATATATATGTCGTACCTAGTAGCCAGAACGCACTTCTCAGCCTACTATGCAAGGCCCAATTTGCCTAATAAGCCAAGTTTTCATGAATTAATATATTTTCTCTAATTTTTTTCTTATGAAATGATAAAGCTACCCATTTCATTATGTATGAGGTCAATTTTTTGTTATTGGAGTTAAAATTAACGTAGATATATGACCGAACCTAACCTACTCTACCTAACCTAACCTAACCTATCTTTATAGGTTAGGTTAGGTTAGGTAGCCGAAAAAGTTAGGTTAGGTTAGGTTAGGTAGGTTAGATAGTCGAAAAACAATTAATTCATGAAAACTTGGCTTATTAGGCAAATTGGGCCTTGCATAGTAGGCCTAGAAGTGCATTCTGGCTACTAGGTACGACATATATATATATATATATATATATATATATATATATATATATATATATATATATATATATATATATATATAACTGAAAACTCACACCCCAGAAAACTCACACCTCAGTTGCATATGTCCTGGGGACCATTCAGGCTTGTTCGCATATATATATATATATATATATATATATATATATATATATATATATATATATATATATATATATATATATATATATATATATATATATGCGAACAAGCCTGAATGGTCCCCAGGACAATATATATATATATATATATATATATATATATATATATATATATATATATATATATATATATATATATATATATATATATGTATATATATAATATAATATAATATAACATGTGTGTAAATCACGAAAATTAACACGTGATGAAAAATGTGACAATGTCAGACCACGGAAGAAGAATTGAAACAGGAATTTCCTTAAGTACTTTCGTATATTAATACATCTTCAGAAGGAATTAATTATCAGACGCACAAAGATTCCTTCTGAAGATGTATTAATATACGAAAGTACTTAAGGAAATTCCTGTTTCAATTCTTCTTCCGTGGTATATATATATATATATATATATATATATATATATATATATATATATATATATATATATATATATATATAATAATATACTTTAACTTTTTTCTTCCACTTTTCTGGAAGTTGGCTCCGAGTTATATCATCATAACTCCAGCTTGGGACGACAGCCGCGCCACGGTGATCGTTATCGTGGATCGAGAGTGGCTAACAAAGTCTTGCTGGAAAAGTTATCGCAGATCTACTGTCGTTAACTTAAAAGTCTTTTCACCAACAGTCCGTTTTCCCCTAAGCGTCGTGTCTTTGCCTAAAAGGTTACGGTGATATGTAGGCGTTGTATAATACCTCGAAATTTACCCTTTTTCGTAACAATTGATAGCAACTTCGAGTATCTGATTTAATACAGTTATCAGACGCACGAAGAGAAATTTAGATCACAGCTTTCTTACGAAAGTGATTTCTCCATTGTGAACCCCATTGGTGACCTGCTGATAACCTCAGCCAATCAGTGCAATCCATCAGAGATGGCACAGTTGACCCATTGATAACCTCGACCAATGAGGTGACCGCTAGCCATCTGACGTCACCAGACTAGCTGTTGAGCTCACCCTCGTGATGGGGATTGGCTCTCCAGGCTCCAAGTAATAACAGTAAACATTACCGATGAGTTTTCTTCACTAAACACTAGGTAATGTTGCGTGACTACGCTTCACTTCTCGGCTTAACATTTGCTGACGGCAGGGAAGCCTATGCTTCCTATGCCAATTGATTGTACTTCTGCTGTTAGTACTCCTGCTGCCAGTACTTCTGCTGCCAGTACTTCTGCTGCCAGTACTCCTGCTGCCAGTACTCCTGCTGCCAGTACTTCTGCTGCCAGTACTCCTGCTGCCAGTACTCCTGCTGCCAGTACTTCTGCCAGTACTCCTGCTGCCAGTACTCCTGCTGCCAGTACTTCTGCTGCCAGTACTTCTGCTGCCAGTACTTCTGCTGTTAGTACTCCTGCTGCCAGTACTCCTGCTGCCAGTACTCCTGCTGCCAGTACTTGTGCTGCCAGTACTCCTGCTGCCAGTACTCCTGCTGCCAGTACTTCTGCCAGTACTCCTGCTGCCAGTACTCCTGCTGCCAGTACTTCTGCTGCCAGTACTTCTGCTGCCAGTACTTCTGCTGCCAGTACTCCTGCTGCCAGTACTCCTGCTGCCAGTACTTCTGCTGCCAGTACTTCTGCTGTTAGTACTCCTGCTGCCAGTACTCCTGCTGCCAGTACTTCTGCTGCCAGTACTTCTGCTGCCAGTACTTCTGCTGCCAGTACTCCTGCTGCCAGTACTCCTGCTGCCAGTACTCCTGCTGCCAGTACTTGTGCTGCCAGTACTCCTGCTGCCAGTACTCCTGCTGCCAGTACTTCTGCCAGTACTCCTGCTGCCAGTACTCCTGCTGCCAGTACTTCTGCTGCCAGTACTTCTGCTGCCAGTACTTCTGCTGTTAGTACTCCTGCTGCCAGTACTCCTGCTGCCAGTACTTCTGCTGCCAGTACTTCTGCTGCCAGTACTTCTGCTGCCAGTACTTCTGCTGCCAGTACTCCTGCTGCCAGTACTTCTGCTGCCAGTACTTCTGCTGCCAGTACTTCTGCTGCCAGTACTTCTGCTGCCAGTACTTCTGCTGTTAGTACTCCTGCTGCCAGTACTCCTGCTGCCAGTACTCCTGCTGCCAGTACTTCTGCTGCCAGTACTTCTGCTGCCAGTACTTCTGCTGCCAGTACTTCTGCTGCCAGTACTTCTGCTGCCAGTACTTCTGCTGCCAGTACTTCTGCTGTTAGTACTCCTGCTGCCAGTACTCCTGCTGCCAGTACTTCTGCTGCCAGTACTTCTGCTGCCAGTACTTCTGCTGCCAGTACTTCTGCTGCCAGTACTCCTGCTGCCAGTACTTCTGCTGCCAGTACTCCTGCTGCCAGTACTTCTGCTGCCAGTACTTCTGCTGCCAGTACTTCTGCTGCCAGTACTCCTGCTGCCAGTACTTCTGCTGCCAGTACTTCTGCTGCCAGTACTTCTGCTGCCAGTACTTCTGCTGTTAGTACTCCTGCTGCCAGTACTCCTGCTGCCAGTACTTCTGCTGCCAGTACTTCTGCTGCCAGTACTCCTGCTGCCAGTACTTCTGCTGCCAGTACTTCTGCTGCCAGTACTTCTGCTGCCAGTACTTCTGCTGCCAGTACTTCTGCTGCCAGTACTTCTGCTGCCAGTACTCCTGCTGCCAGTACTTCTGCTGCCAGTACTTCTGCTGCCAGTACTTCTGCTGTTAGTACTCCTGCTGCCAGTACTCCTGCTGCCAGTACTCCTGCTGCCAGTACTTGTGCTGCCAGTACTCCTGCTGCCAGTACTCCTGCTGCCAGTACTTCTGCCAGTACTCCTGCTGCCAGTACTCCTGCTGCCAGTACTTCTGCTGCCAGTACTTCTGCTGCCAGTACTTCTGCTGCCAGTACTCCTGCTGCCAGTACTCCTGCTGCCAGTACTTCTGCTGCCAGTACTTCTGCTGTTAGTACTCCTGCTGCCAGTACTCCTGCTGCCAGTACTTCTGCTGCCAGTACTTCTGCTGCCAGTACTTCTGCTGCCAGTACTCCTGCTGCCAGTACTCCTGCTGCCAGTACTCCTGCTGCCAGTACTTGTGCTGCCAGTACTCCTGCTGCCAGTACTCCTGCTGCCAGTACTTCTGCCAGTACTCCTGCTGCCAGTACTCCTGCTGCCAGTACTTCTGCTGCCAGTACTTCTGCTGCCAGTACTTCTGCTGTTAGTACTCCTGCTGCCAGTACTCCTGCTGCCAGTACTTCTGCTGCCAGTACTTCTGCTGCCAGTACTTCTGCTGCCAGTACTTCTGCTGCCAGTACTCCTGCTGCCAGTACTTCTGCTGCCAGTACTTCTGCTGCCAGTACTTCTGCTGCCAGTACTTCTGCTGCCAGTACTTCTGCTGTTAGTACTCCTGCTGCCAGTACTCCTGCTGCCAGTACTCCTGCTGCCAGTACTTCTGCTGCCAGTACTTCTGCTGCCAGTACTTCTGCTGCCAGTACTTCTGCTGCCAGTACTTCTGCTGCCAGTACTTCTGCTGCCAGTACTTCTGCTGTTAGTACTCCTGCTGCCAGTACTCCTGCTGCCAGTACTTCTGCTGCCAGTACTTCTGCTGCCAGTACTTCTGCTGCCAGTACTTCTGCTGCCAGTACTCCTGCTGCCAGTACTTCTGCTGCCAGTACTCCTGCTGCCAGTACTTCTGCTGCCAGTACTTCTGCTGCCAGTACTTCTGCTGCCAGTACTCCTGCTGCCAGTACTTCTGCTGCCAGTACTTCTGCTGCCAGTACTTCTGCTGTTAGTACTCCTGCTGCCAGTACTCCTGCTGCCAGTACTTCTGCTGCCAGTACTTCTGCTGCCAGTACTCCTGCTGCCAGTACTTCTGCTGCCAGTACTTCTGCTGCCAGTACTTCTGCTGCCAGTACTTCTGCTGCCAGTACTTCTGCTGCCAGTACTTCTGCTGTTAGTACTCCTGCTGCCAGTACTCCTGCTGCCAGTACTTCTGCTGCCAGTACTCCTGCTGCCAGTACTCCTGCTGCCAGTACTTCTGCTGCCAGTACTCCTGCTGCCAGTACTCCTGCTGCCAGTACTCCTGCTGCCAGTACTCCTGCTGCCAGTACTTCTGCTGTTAGTACTCCTGCTGCCAGTACTCCTGCTGCCAGTACTCCTGCTGTCAGTACTTCTGCTGTTAGTACTCCTGCTGCCAGTACTCCTGCTGTCAGTACTCCTGCTGCCAGTACTCCTGCTGCCAGTACTCCTGCTGTCAGTACTCCTGCTGCCAGTACTCCTGCTGCCAGTACTCCTGCTGCCAGTACTCCTGCTGCCAGTACTCCTGCTGCCAGTATTCCTGCTGCCAGTACTCCTGCTGCCAGTACTTCTGCTGTTAGTACTCCTGCTGCCAGTACTCCTGCTGCCAGTACTCCTGCTGCCAGTACTTCTGCTGTTAGTACTCCTGCTGCCAGTACTCCTGCTGCCAGTACTCCTGCTGTCAGTACTCCTGCTGCCAGTACTCCTGCTGCCAGTACTCCTGCTGCCAGTACTCCTGCTGCCAGTACTTCTGCTGCCAGTACTCCTGCTGTCAGTACTTCTGCTGTTAGTACTCCTGCTGCCAGTACTCCTGCTGTTAGTACTCCTGCTGCCAGTACTCCTGCTGCCAGTACTCCTGCTGCCAGTACTCCTGCTGCCAGTACTCCTGCTGCCAGTACTCCTGCTGCCAGTACTCCTGCTGTCAGTACTTCTGCTGTTAGTACTCCTGCTGCCAGTACTCCTGCTGCCAGTACTCCTGCTGCCAGTATTCCTGCTGCCAGTACTCCTGCTGCCAGTACTCCTGCTGCCAGTATTCCTGCTGCCAGTACTCCTGCTGCCAGTATTCCTGCTGCCAGTACTCCTGCTGCCAGTATTCCTGCTGCCAGTACTCCTGCTGCCAGTACTCCTGCTGCCAGTACTCCTGCTGTCAGTACTTCTGCTGTTAGTACTCCTGCTGCCAGTACTCCTGCTGCCAGTACTCCTGCTGCCAGTACTCCTGCTGCCAGTACTCCTGCTGCCAGTACTCCTGCTGCCAGTACTTCTGCTGTTAGTACTCCTGCTGCCAGTACTCCTGCTGCCAGTACTCCTGCTGTCAGTACTCCTGCATGCAAGAGGGAGTCCTCGATCAATTTAAAATACCCTGGAAAGATATCTTGTTGTTGTTAAAGATTCGCTACCTGGAACAAAAAGTTCCAAGTAGCACGGGCTATGGTGAACCCGTAGAGGGAAAGATGTTGTCCATTTATGGACGGTCGGGAATTGAACGCCGGCCTGCATGAAGCGAGACCGTCTAGCCCAAGTGGTTGGGCGGAATCCTGGGGAGATAAAAGTTGGTTTAATAAATCATTTTTGCGTGTGTTAATCATAGATTAAAATATGATATTGGAATTTTTAAGTTATCAGACGATGTTCAATATTGAGATCAGAAATTAATTTGTTTTAAGACGGAAGTTTGTTGACTTTTTTCACTTGAAGTTTAAGAAACTTTTGCTTCTAGAACATTCTAGAAGGCTGAAGGCTTATTCCTGTGTGTTGCATTAGTGACTTACGGAGTGGCAGGGATGTTTTACTAAACTGTGGCATATATTCCTTACATTCTTCATTATCAGCAATACTATTATAATGATTGTCATCATCATCCATATCACTATCACCATCATCATCATCACTGTATGACGGCATACATCCACCTGGCTGGCGGCATACATCCACCTGGGTGGTGGTCATCCACCTGGGTGGTGGTCATCCACCTGGCTGGCGGCATACATCCACCTGGGTGGCTCTCATCCACCTGGGTGGCTCTCATCCACCTGGCTGGCGGCATACATCCACCTGGGTGGCTCTCATCCACCTGGGTGACGGCACACATCCACCTGGATGCGGCGCAATCCGCCGCGAGTAAGATTAAGACATTCTGACTACGTCACAACCCACAGCAGAGGGCCACGTGACCTCCGAGCCACTACACCGCCCCAGAATACAACCTTCACTTCACTCGAGTGGAAAGTATAATGAAACATTTGTATGGGTGTCGAACCCTGGGCCCTCGTAGTGCCATCCATTCCGTAGCCTCATGAGCCACACATGTCTGTAACTCGAACACGGAAGCCATTTCTGTATCCAGGTGGCTCTTTAGCCACTAATTTACATTGTTCCAAAGTTTATATGAATTTTGGGAAGTCTCTATTCTTTGTTCGCTAGTTAATACTAGTTATTCACTACCCACAGTCTTCCCTGCGTGTGGGATCTTCAATGCAGGGAACATGTTGCAACTCTGCAAGAAGGTTCAAGTTAAACCAACAGGTTGCAATTATATGTTAAAGAAACCTAAAAAAAGAGAACGAGTTTGAAGCGATTAAGAAATGAGTCTGAGTGTTTAAGATTCTTGTCATTGACTTCATTTAGCATTTACGGCTGTAATGGCGTCGCTTGGAGCTGTTGGAGAGGCTTCCTGGGAGGTCCGCCTGGGTCAGTCTCTGTCTCTCTCTCTGTCTGTCTCTCTCTGTTTCTCTCTCTGTCTGTCTCTTTCTCTCTTTCTCTAAGTCTCTGTCTGTCTGTCTGTCTCTCTCAGTCTCTGTCTGTCTGTCTCTCTTTGTCTCTCTCTCTCTCTCTCTGTGTCTCTCTCTCTCTCTCAGTCTCTGTCTCTGTCTCTCTCTCGCTCTCTCTGTCTCTCTCTCTGTCTCTCTCTCTCTCTCTCTCTCTCTCTCTCTCTCTCTCTCTCTCTCTCTCTCTCTCTCTCTCTCTCTCTCTCTCTCTCTCTCTCTCTCTCTCTCTCTCTCTCAGTGGCTGAGAAAACAAGTATATTTTTTTCTATATTAATGGAGAGAATATTCGAAACTTAAGTGGAAGACAAGTGATGACCCGCGGGGCAGCGACGTGCAAGAACAGGTCGGAGGTGGAATGACCGTTCAGAACGTTCGAGGAACATTCAGGACAACAAACTAGACGGTGAAACGTTCTAAGACACTCCAGGAAGAGGTGGAACGTTGGAAACGTCTGGGAGAGGTGGAACACGCTACACACACCAGGGGGGGGAGGTGGAACACACAGACACACACCAGGGGGGAGGTGGAACACACAGACACACACCAGGGGGGAGGTGGAACACACAGACACACACCAGGGGGGGGAGGTGGAACACACAGACACACACCAGGGGGGAGGTGGAACACACAGACACACACCAGGGGGGAGGTGGAACACACAGACACACACCAGGGGGGAAGGTGGAACACACACACACACACCAGGGGGGAGGTGGAACACACAGACACACACCAGGGGGGAAGGTGGAACACACACACACACACCAGGGGGGAGGTGGAACACACAGACACACACCAGGGGGGAAGGTGGAACACACAGACACACACCAGGGGGGGAAGGTGGAACACACAGACACACACCAGGGGGGGGGGAAGGTGGAACACACACCAGGGGGGAAGGTAGAACACAAGACACACACCAGGGGGGGAAGGTGGAACACACAGACACACACCAGGGGGGGAGGTGGAACACACAGACACACACCAGGGGGGGGAAGGTGGAACACACAGACACACACCAGGGGGGGGGGAAGGTGGAACACACACCAGGGGGGAAGGTAGAACACAAGACACACACCAGGGGGGGGGGAAGGTGGAACACACACCAGGGGGGAAGGTAGAACACAAGACACACACCAGGGGGGAAGGTGGAACACACAGACACACACCAGGGGGGGGGGAAGGTGGAACACACAGACACACACCAGGGGGGGGGAAGGTGGAACACACAGACACACACCAGGGGGGAAGGTGGAACACACAGACACACACCAGGGGGGGGAAGGTGGAACACACAGACACACACCAGGGGGGGGGGAAGGTGGAACACACACCAGGGGGGAAGGTAGAACACAAGACACACACCAGGGGGGGAAGGTGGAACACACAGACACACACCAGGGGGGGAGGTGGAACACACAGACACACACCAGGGGGGGGAGGTGGAACACACAACACACACCAGGGGGGGAGGTGGAACACACAGACACACACCAGGGGGGAAGGTGGAACACACAGACACACACCAGGGGGGGGAAGGTGGAACACACAGACACACACCAGGGGGGGGAGGTGGAACACACAACACACACCAGGGGGGGAGGTGGAACACACAGACACACACCAGGGGGGAAGGTGGAACACACAGACACACACCAGGGGGGAAGGTGGAACACACAGACACACACCAGGGGGGGGGGAAGGTGGAACACACAGACACACACCAGGGGGGGAGGTGGAACACACAGACACACACCAGGGGGGAGGTGGAACACACAGACACACACCAGGGGGGAAGGTGGAACACACAGACACACACCAGGGGGGAAGGTGGAACACACAGACACACACCAGGGGGGAAGGTGGAACACACAGACACACACCAGGGGGGAAGGTGGAACACACAGACACACACCAGGGGGGAGGTGGAACACACAGACACACACCAGGGGGGAAGGTGGAACACACAGACACACACCAGGGGGGGAGGTGGAACACACAGACACACACCAGGGGGGAGGTGGAACACACAGACACACACCAGGGGGGGGGGGAAGGTGGAACACACAGACACACACCAGGGGGGAAGGTGGAACACACAGACACACACCAGGGGGGGGAAGGTGGAACACACAGACACACACCAGGGGGGAGGTGGAACACACAGACACACACCAGGGGGGGAAGGTGGAACACACAGACACACACCAGGGGGGGAAGGTGGAACACACAGACACACACCAGGGGGGGGAAGGTGGAACACACAGACACACACCAGGGGGGGAAGGTGGAACACACAGACACACACCAGGGGGGAGGTGGAACACACAGACACACACCAGGGGGGGAGGTGGAACACACAGACACACACCAGGGGGGAGGTGGAACACACAGACACACACCAGGGGGGAGGTGGAACACACAGACACACACCAGGGGGGGGAAGGTGGAACACACAGACACACACCAGGGGGGGAAGGTGGAACACACAGACACACACCAGGGGGGGAGGTGGAACACACAGACACACACCAGGGGGGGAGGTGGAACACACAGACACACACCAGGGGGGGGAAGGTGGAACACACAGACACACACACCAGGGGGGGAAGGTGGAACACACAACACACACCAGGGGGGGAGGTGGAACACACAGACACACACCAGGGGGGGGGAAGGTGGAACACACAGACACACACCAGGGGGGAGGTGGAACACACAGACACACACCAGGGGGGGAAGGTGGAACACACAGACACACACCAGGGGGGAAGGTGGAACACACAGACACACACCAGGGGGGAGGTGGAACACACAGACACACACCAGGGGGGGGAAGGTGGAACACACAGACACACACCAGGGGGGAGGTGGAACACACAGACACACACCAGGGGGGGGAAGGTGGAACACACAGACACACACCAGGGGGGGAAGGTGGAACACACAGACACACACCAGGGGGGGGGAAGGTGGAACACACAGACACACACCAGGGGGGGGGAAGGTGGAACACACAGACACACACCAGGGGGGGGGAAGGTGGAACACACAGACACACACCAGGGGGGGGAAGGTGGAACACACAGACACACACCAGGGGGGAAGGTGGAACACACAGACACACACCAGGGGGGAGGTGGAACACACAGACACACACCAGGGGGGGGGAAGGTGGAACACACAGACACACACCAGGGGGGAAGGTGGAACACACAGACACACACCAGGGGGGGGAAGGTGGAACACACAGACACACACCAGGGGGGAGGTGGAACACACAGACACACACCAGGGGGGGGGGAAGGTGGAACACACAGACACACACCAGGGGGGGGGGAAGGTGGAACACACAGACACACACCAGGGGGGAGGTGGAACACACAGACACACACCAGGGGGGAGGTGGAACACACAGACACACACCAGGGGGGGGAAGGTGGAACACACAGACACACACCAGGGGGGAAGGTGGAACACACAGACACACACCAGGGGGGGAGGTGGAACACACAGACACACACCAGGGGGGGAGGTGGAACACACAGACACACACCAGGGGGGGAAGGTGGAACACACAGACACACACACCAGGGGGGGGAAGGTGGAACACACAGACAC